CCCCATTTCATTTTGTTTCGGGTTGCCTGAATGTTGTCACCAAGTGAAAAAAAAAAGTATTTAATTATATGTAAATTTTCTCTTTTAAAAAAAAGTTTTGCTGATGTTAAATGTATCTCAGTGCCAATGTCAGATCGTGCTCCTCCCTCTCTCGCACCTCTACCCTCACCCTAAGCAGTCTTGTTGAAAACAGTAATAAAATATTACTTTACATTGCAATTGACTGTTTGTGGATTGTTCTTAAATGAAGGCAGGTGAGATCACAATTTACAATTCACAATGTAAAGATGTGAATTTGAGGAGCTAAGTACAAGAAGCTGCCATTTGAATTCTAACTTGCAAAATTTACAAATACAGCACATCTGATCGGCTTAACCATACAAGTTCCCACCAAAATCCTTAGGAAAGAGAAAATATTAATTTTACCCAACTGTATAATGTTTGTTCTGTAGATTTTAAGATTAAAAGTAATATCTCCCTTCACACTTGAAAAAACACACCCAGATTTTATATAAAAAAACAGATTTTGATCCTAATTTTTTTCATAGAAAAAATTATTTCACGTTAAAAATTAAGATATTTGCTTTTTATACCATAATTTTTAAAAATCCACTCTGAGTCTGAAATACAAAGGAAATATTTATGGATCTTTTCTGAAGAGTTAACACAAGCAGTTGACACTTTTCCTTAAATCATTTGTCCTCTCCAAGTTTTAAATAATAAAAACTTAACAATTAAGTCCATGCCACCAAAAAAGAATAAAGTGGTTATAGCAATATTCTTTTTCTTAGCAAATGGTGATGTGAACAATCCAAATTTATGAATTACTCCAGTTTTTATAATGGCTTAGTTATAAATGCCAACACTATGGTCATTTTTTTCTTAATTCCCAGAATTTTTCAGAATTATTCTGAAGCTTCTTATAGGCAATTTAAACTAAAAAGGTTCTGGTACAGTTTTTCTGACCAAAGAAGTATTACTGTTTCAGGAATTTACATAAAGGAGAAGTACTCTCCCACTCTTTCTGCCTTCCTAAGGTAACAATCCAATGTACCCATAGCATTTCAGAAGGGTTTCTTTTTAATACAAGGAAATAACTGATTAGAAAATAAAATCATTGGTAAAACTGAAAGTATCCCAAAGGGACTGGTCTGTCTTCTTCATATTGGAGGCAACTATGAACTCCATTAGATATGCTAATGAGGCGGCACAGGTACAGAACATATGTCAGATGTTACCTGATAATATATAAAATTTATTATTCAAATTAGCTGTTTTTAATTTATTGAGAAAATTTATGAATGAGAGATATAAAGAAAAACATCCTAAAAAGCAATTTTAAAGATCAGAGAAGTGGGGGAGGGAGTGTATGGAAGGATGAGCAGCAGGACGTCAGAGATGGATGAAAAATAAGGAAGGGACTCAGAGCTCTGTCTCTGGTTCACTTTACAAAACAGGCTAAGTCTTAAGATTCCCTGGTGAAAATTCCCTAGTAAAAAATAGTTCTGGGTTAGAAATATAAACTTTGATCTTATCAGTTCTGAAATCATCTCCACTCTTTAAACATAATATTACATCTCTTTCTGGTCTCTCTCTCTGTAGATGTAGAAGGAACAGTATAACTCTAAGTGGTTCAGACAAATACAGTAGGGTTTTTTTAAATAATAAAAATGAACAGTATTCTCTGGGGAAAATGTTCTGATTTTTAAGAATATTTTCAAAGCAAGTAATAGGTGCTTACACTTACAAAGAAATGATTTAAGGACAGTGTTTAATTTAAAAGATTAAAATGACATCTTAAAATGGCCATTTTTTCACTCTCAAAAGTATTTACAGTGTTAGACATGTATCTCCCTCCAACTGTACCAGGAAAAGTTTTTAACTCTTGACAAGAAACAAAAATTCCCCAAATTCAGTATCTTTTTTCTCTCCTTATTTAATACAACTAAAAAAAGAAAACCACTGCAGAAACACAAGTGTCCTCATTACAAAATACCTTAAAGCACCAATGTCTATACAAAATCAAAATTTTTTCCAAAAACAGATTGAAAAATGTTTAAATATAAATTAGTAGAAGTTTTGATTTCTATAATATTAGGCAGGTTGCTGTGGTACAAAACAATTTCTGTGACTACGGTAAAAGATCCCCGTATTGCACAAGCAACAGGGGGAAAATTAATTTAATGATGTAGCACAGAATAAGAGCAGAGAGAAATAAAAGTTATTACTTCTCCCCAAAGGAGCAAATAACTTCAAGGAGCCTAATTACAAAGATTGGAAAAGATTCTAATATTGAGTGTAATTACTTACACACCTTTAAATCACAATTTAGATTTTAAGCCATGTATGTTCAAAAGCATGATCAATATTATGAGTTAAATTTCAGCCTCTCAAACTCACAAACTGCCATCAATTAGAGAATGTAAGTAATTTTGGTTACCTTTCTTTCCTAAAGAAACTAAAATACATTTTTCAGACATTTCAGCTCTGCAACAATGTAAAAATGATGCAAAATCTGAATTAAAGTTTTCTCTACACTGGGTTAGCTGAACTGTCAAGGTCAAAATGATCTGTTTCACTGTAGCCTTCCTACCATAGAGTCTACCTAATCCTATCTTAATAAAGGTAGCAATTTTTAAACATTGTGCTAGAATCGTACGTAAGACAAGAGATGATTATCAAGTTTTCAGTAAAATTGTAACATTTTCATCAAGTACTTTGAAATACTTTTAAATCACTAAAATTTAAATTTGCATGATTACAAAACCAAAGAAGCTCCCACCAATAAATTAGGAATGTATATATGTGTATGTGTGCATGTATATATGTATGTAGTATGTACACACACACACACACACACAAGCTATGAGCCTATAAAATAAAGTATTCCAATTTTATTTAAGCCACTTCTCTTTCTACAGGATGCTTATTTTGCTCATTTTGAAAGAGACTGTTTCCTCTCAGAACAAACTCGACCCACTCACTTTCATGAAATAAACCTAATTTTGGCTTTATGGCCTAGCCACAAATGTTTCTTAGTAAAATAAAGTTGCCAAGGTCTGAAAAGTAATCAGAAATACATTTTAAAGGGGAAATTACATTTTCATTTAAGAATAGGAAATTATGCAGTGCCTTGTAAAATCAACTACAGGTAATGGGAAACAGAGTATCTCATACACACACGAGACAGGCATGCAGGACAGAGTAGTAAGTCATGAGGACAAAGCAAGGAGAGTGATATATTGGTATTATATCCAGAAAACAGAAAGGCTAAACAAAATAATTCCCCTCTCGATCTCACTGAATTTTGTAGCTTAATTCACCCTGGACCCTTTGAGGCAAAATATATTTATAGAAGATATTCCCTGAGGTTCTTCCCCTACCCTTGCATGAGCTAATGATAAATGCAATTAAGTGGGAATTGTTTTTGAATCTAAATGAACTTCAATAATCTAACTAGCTGGTGAGGGAATCATAAGCTAAAGAAAATAGTTGCCTTGCACAGACCTCAGTCTGTCAGATTTTACCAGTGCCAATCTACTTAATAGCAGCGCACCATCCCATCCAAAGAAAAATAAAATTCCATAAAAATGAAACCCACTCCTCATTGTCTCACCTTGGGGTCGATATTCTTGAAGTTGGGGTCCTCTTCATCCACCTCGAAAAAGAGCTCAGAGGAGGTGACGGAAAGAATGCCCTTCACTACAACAGAGGGGGCCACAAGCTGAGCTGGTGTGCTCAGGCTAACAGGACCTGCCAAAAGGAAAAGGCAAGCCGCACAAGTTGGAATGACATTTTTCAAAAATTCAAGTAGATTCAAGCAGAAATTTTATTTAATTTAAAAATTCTCACATCTAGCACCAAATTGCCTGCCAACTCCTACACTTACAAATTCTGTCCCCCAAAAAACTTCCTCTGAAAATGCAAAGTTAGGAGTCTCACACTAAGAGAGTTATAATAGGCAATTAATGATAACAGTAAACTAGGATGCAATTATTTTGCAGGGAGTCTGCAAAGCTTTGGTCTAATCTCTGGGTAAAAGGGCAGCTCTGCCTAAATAAGTCCATCCACATTCCATTTAGAAAACAAGCCTCAGGCTATCAAACAACATGGAACAACAACCAGGAGCAAGGAGGACTCAATAGGCTCCCAAGGCCAGAGGTTAGTTTAGAGTTTGGCTGAGGCATGATTACAAAAAGATCACTAGCTTATTAGCAAAGTGAGAAACATTACACCATATTCTCTGGTAAAGATTTTGTGCCAGGTTGACACAAAGCCTCTTCCATAACAACTTCCCCCATGAAAGATTGGTAAAAATACTTATTTTCTAAGCCTGCCTTTCCACTGTTAAATATTGTTCAGTGCTTCCAAATCTAATATTAGTGTAGTTCAGGGACTCTGGGAGTAAACAGCTGGAGGGTGGGTTTCCAAGTGAATGAATTTTTATTGGAATAATCAAATCTCCACAGGGCTTATCAAAGAGACAAATCAGCCTGCTACCGAAAACAATAGACTCAATACAGATAGAAGAGCATGAAGTATATTAGAGCTAACTCTAAAATAAGGACTAAAATAATGATTATATTACATATGCATATATATTTATGTAGAGATCGATGTAGTAAGAATTTGAAATCCCATGGCAGTTCCTCATTGTACAAATCCTAGAGGTGAAGAAA